CCCTTTAGTTATACGTATAGGCGCGGCGATAATCGTACTACTCGATATCGAGAAGAACTTAGGTTTTAGTAATATTATTATACAATATTAGAGGCGATTATCCTCTTCCCCTTATAGAATATTCTATTCCCGACGAGATAGAGTATTAACTCGTATATTATCCTTTCCTTCGAGGTAGGAAATCCTAAAGTTATATCGCGAGAAAATAAGAGACTATCTTATTTATCGTTTCGTAAGTTTTCGTACGATTATAAAGTACTCGAGATTCTTATAATTAGAGCGAATCTCGAATTTCTTAACGCTTCGAAGCTTAGCGTCCTATTCTTCTAAGTATTATATAATCGCGAGTATTTCTTTATCGTAGATTTTATAGTTATACTCGGCTAGTAAGTTCTTCTTCGAGAAAAAGGCGTAGGGTCGTATAATACCGTCCTCGCCTACTTAGAATAGAGTTCTCCCTATATACTACTTAAATACGTCTACTTCTAGGATTATTTCGTACTCGTAGTTAAATATCGCTAGTACGAGTACGATAGTAAAAATCCTCTTAAGTCGTATAAAAGATTCCTCGACTTTATCGTTCTATTTAAATATCGTATCCTTTCGTATAAGTTTCGTAATTAGGAAGGTAATCGTAGAGAAGTCTTTTATAAATCGACGATAGAAGTTAGTAAATCTAAGAAAGCTCTATATATCCTTTACGAACGTCGGGAGTTACTATTCTTAAATCGCGAAGACCTTAGCCGAATCTATTCGTACGTCTTACTTAGCTTTAATAATAAAGCCGAGGTATTTAATCGACTTAACCTTAAATTCGTATTTATTAATATCTACTTATAGTTCCGCTTCTCTTAGTCGTACGAGAACCTTCCGAACGTACTCTTAATATTCTTTTCGGAATCTAAAAGAGTAGATTAGAATATTATCTACGTACGCGGAGTAAAATATATTAAGGTAGCTACGAAGGGCCTAATTAATATATTTTTAAAACGTACTAGGCGTATTCGTAAGTCTAAAGGAAGTTACTAACTATTTAAAAAGTCTATATCTCGTACGAAATACCGTTATCTATTCGTCTCCTTTAGCGATTCGGATTTTATAGAACGCCGTAATAATATCTAGCTTTATATACTATTTAGCTCGTCCGATATTACGTAGGGTTTCGTAGATTAAGGGAAGTAGATATCGATTCTTTTTCGTAATCTTATTTAATCCGCGATAGTTAACGTAAAAGCGAAGGCCTCTTCCTAGTTTTCGTATAAAGAGGATAGGCGCTATCGTAGAAGAGTTACTTATACGAATAAAGCCTTTATCGAGATATTCTATTAACGTACGGCGGAGAACTAATAGTTCGTCTCGAGATATATTATAGAGAGGTCTCTAGGATACTTCTAGTCGTATACCGTTTTCTATTTCTAGTTTAATAGCGTAGTCGATTCCTTTTCCTCGTAAAGAAAGTAGTTTTTCTATATTCGTACGGTTAAAAATATCTAGGAATACGTAGAAGTATTTCGATAGCTTAGTACGAAGGTTCGTTAACGTTTTTACCGCGAGGACTTTCTCGATATCGACTATTATTACTAAGAATACTTAAACCCCTTTTCTTTTTATACGCTAATAGGCTAATAAGGAGAAGGCGATAGCTAAGACTATCTAGTAATCTAGAGTCGTACGAGCTCCCTATAAAGTATTCTAGATTCGTAAGTCCTAGGGTCCTAATATAAGGGTATCTTACTTCGCGGTAAATCGTACGTTATTCTTCTTTATCTAAGGAAACCCGAGAATAATATTATACGAGAAGCTAGGTATAACGTAGAAGAAGGCTTCTTCTTTATATCTATCTACGTCGACTTCTACCTTAGCGACTTTCGTAATTTTAGATCGTATAGAAGCACTAAAGCCGGAGATAGAGCGAGGAGTAATAGGGATACGCTCGAAAGACTATTAAGAGGTAAAACGAGAGTTTATAAGACCGTATAATAAATAACCGAAGTTAATTAGAACTAATATATAGTATTATTTATCTAAAAGTAACGAAACTATAAAAGGTTAGTCGTCTATCGTAGGCTAAAAAGCCTTCTATTTCTTCTCTATCCTCTTTATACGCTTCTATCGACGATTTTTAATAGAAGCTACTCTTTTTAACGACTCCTCGTCGTCCTCTCGCTCTACTATCGCTATTCTTCTTTCCGCCTTAGGTCGTAAGGAGCGAAGGAGGTTATATTTTTTAATAAAATAGCTCTTTTTATCGTATCGTAGATAATATTCTATTTCTCTTCTCTAGTCGAGGACCGCTCGTAATACCTATAACGCTCGTTACGGTTATACCGCTATTAGAGTAGCCTATACGGTAGTAGATACCTAATCTATTCTATCGTTCGTATAATTAGGATAGTCGTATACGATATTAGGGGTACGTCTATTCCTTATCCTTTATCGTTTAAGATTTTCTAGGTTTATACTAATCGTATATAGAAGCGTATAATACTCTTTATATATTACTAGGATAGGAGTAGCGACTAAGGTATTACGTAACTCGTACGATAAGTAGTTTAATAGGAACGTCTTTTTAACGGGATTAGTCTAACTTAGACCTTTCGCTTTTAATAGTATACGATCGAATTTAGCTAGGAAAGTACCGAAAGGCTTTCCTTCCTATTTTAGTTAAGAGAGTTTTCTAGAAGCTCTCTTAGCGGCACTAATATTATCGTATATCGTAACTAATTAACCTATAAGGCCTTCCGTCGTTATATCTAGAGTTTCCTATACGGAGTCTACCTAAGGACTAATTTATAAGAGAGCGTACCCTTTTAATCTACTATAGAGATACTAGAATCGTACCGTCTCTAGCTCTCTAGACTTATCGATAACGAACTTAGCTCGCGCTTACGTTAACTATAGGCGAAATTTAGCCCTCTTTCCATTAAATTCGGCTAACTTAGGGAGTTTAGCCTTTTATCGTACGGAATTAGCGTCCTTTATCGTATTTACCGTCGGAGAGGTTAATCTCTCTAGCGTACGATTATTCCGTTCGTTTTATTATCCTATTTATACTTTAAGCGCTACTATCTTTTCGTTCTAAACTTATAGTATTTAAAATAGCTACGCTACCTATTAGGGAGGGCTATTTTCCGTTACCGTTAATTTATTATCTATTTTATACGATAAGAACTCTTTCTCTTAACTATATAATAGCGAGCTTAACGTAATATAAGGGTTTTAATAGGAGCTTATTTAACTACTACATCTGTGTTTTGGACCGGGCAGCCCAGCAAGCCCTGGGCTACCGTGGGCTCGCAGCGCTGGGCTGCAATAGATGCTTATCATGAGCTTACAGGGCAAACCTTAATTCCTGTGGGCTCGCTGGGCTCAGCCTAAGTGCTGTGGGCTCGCTAGGCTCGTACCTAAGTGCTGTGGGCTTATACACTAACTTTACTATTTATAGAACTTTTCTATTTTATAATTATATAGACTATTCTTAATAGCACTAAATAGTAGACTTAGTATTAGTACTAGTAAATATATTATATAATATATATAGTAAATTTTACTAAAACTTC